TTGTGTTGCTTGTGTGGTTCATAGAGACAGCTTGGGCTGCCTGTGGTCGCATCCCGGGTCTCGGGTGAGTTGTAGGCTCAAACTCCAAATAAACGAACTATTTAATGAACCAGCCACATAATCCGGAACATACAATAAACGACGAATCACAATGGCTAAAAAAGGTGAAGAAGCTAGACTCAAAACTCCAAAAACAGCGGCAAGGCTGGCCTAAAATCTTAAACACGGCAAGAAAATACAACAAAGATGAAAATCTGCAAAATTACGACAGCGAAGTTCAAATGTACGCGCGAGCACATTCTGAGCAACGATTGGCTAATTAAAATCACCCGAAGTTACGCGCGCGGACAAAAACTCATACTAAGACGAGAGGGGTGATTTCAGAGTTCGTAAAGTTCAAAACAAAGTGCGAACTGGAAATGTCCATCATTTTTTTCGCGCCCAAAATTTACGCTCTGATAAACATTCCTGCACGTGAAACAAGTCGACCTCACGCGACTTACGACGCTCGCGCTCACCCTCGCGAATTCGTCGCACGAAGATTACCCTCTCGCTTCGCTCGAGGAAGATAAATAAGTCGAGGTTTAAGAAAAGGTCGACTTGTGGCAAGTCTACAAAGTGGGTAAAGGCCGGCTTTCGAGTTATGTTTAAAGATTTTCAAATAAAAAAGCTTTTTCTGTTGTTTCTTTATTATATAAAACAAATAGAATCCATGTTGCTGTGCGTCTGTTCAGTAATAGATCACAGAAGACGTCAAAATGTGGTAAGAACATCAGTGACACACTCGGCTATCGCCTCGTGTGCCACTTATTTGTTCTTACAACATTTTGACGTCATCTGTGATCCATTACTGAACAGACGCACGGCAACATAGAATCTATTTGTTAAAAAGATGTTCGCAGCTAAGAACTGTGACAGTAACTACAGTTTGATCCGCAGAAATGTAACGAATGTTGAGTATTGAAAACTTTACGGTCGTTATGTGGGCAGGGCACCTCTCCGTGAAAACGTGGCGACTGATTTTTACTCACTTGTTCGTCTCGTCCAGCTGCAGAGGCACGGTCTGGACTTCTCCCGCATTGCTCCAGACAGATTGACATTCAGCTTCGGACTCAACGTCACTCCTGCTCCTATTACTGAACTCCGCCATTGTGAAGCTGCACTGGTTGGTAGGGAATTTCCTATCTTTTTTCTGCAGATACGATGGAAATACATATAGGAATTCAGTATTCACTCAGAATTCAGTAAGGTCATGCTGTCAAACATTTGTCTGGCGAGATTTCCAAGACACAACTTACATTCTTTTTCCCCGTCAAAGGTGTCTTCTTCACAACACAACGCAATGCCCCTGGCCAGTGCCCGAACCCGGACCGCTCGATCCGGAGATAAGCGCACTAACCATGAGGCCACCGCGTCTCCCCACCGCGCCTCTCCTTACATAGTATATGAATACGATATAACAACTGTGTTAAAACCCGGAGTTTATCTTCACTTTGCTCAAAGAAAAAGACTAGGAAACAAATAAGTCCAATGAATAGTGAATGTAATTTGTACATCCGATGTTGTGAAATTGTTGGTCTTAACTGATGCATGAGAGTCGAAATCGAGCCGAGAGGTTTGTTTCAGTATGATCGCTACGATCGCTGTGAACCGGCCATAAGAAAAACCTAAATATGATAATGATAATGGCAATAACGATGATAATCAGTAACAATCCTTACCTGAATCTATTTTGTTTGGTTCTGATTTGTATTCATTGTCCTCAGAAGAATAACTTTCACTGCCTTGGCGGCGAGAGAATGTGATTGGAATCCGCGAGGGCCGTCCACTGTGTCGCTTTATCTGCGCAGCTTCTTCAGTACAGCTTTGTTCGCTGTCACTGCTGCAGCGAGACACCCTGATCAGTATTTTGGATATTTGCCTTACCGCAGAGAGACAAATTCCACTGTCCCTTGCGTTTTTCCTCGACGCCATGTCGCACTTTGCTACAGGGTTTTTAACACGAGCAAACTTGACCTCGGGCTAACTGCCTTCACTAAAATCTTCAGAAAAACCACTTCTTTGCAAATTTCTCTCTTTTTCAAAATTAAAAATTAAGTAATTATAACTTCTGTGTAAGTTAATAACTCGCGATACTTTGTATTAAAAAGTCTCGCAACAAACAGCACTGAGATGACGAGATATGCGAGAAAAGTTTCGTCATAAAGAAACTCTTGATTCCGTCTCGTTCGAAATCTTGCGCCAGTACGCCTCTCGCGCACGCCAAAGTCTGCCAGCATTCAGCCAACGCAGGTTAGGAGTTTTAAAGGCGTCTTGGTCATGGTGAAATGCAGCGTAGAGACAGTGTGGTCGAGTGGTTAGGGCGCCAGTCTTGAAATCCGGAGGTCGCGGGTTCAAGTCCCGCTCTGATCACTAAGATGGAGTTCCTCGGTCATGCTTGTAAATAACCAACTGGTCAGCCTCCCACCAGTTAGGATTTTTAAGTCTATTGTGTCAAGTTGAAATATTTGTTTCAGTCAGTTTAACTGGCATGTCTGTGAACTAGCTAGGTGTAGCTAAGCGCATTGACCGCTATAAACAACATTTACATTTTTTTATAATAATGCCGTACGCACGCTTCGCCTTTTTGGGAAATAGGTGAGGTTAGTTGTGACTGTATAAATGGCATCAGTAATTTGCCGTGAACAAAAAAGGAGTTCCTCGAGATAATGGCAAAAGAGAAAATTGATAGAATAACAGAAGTCCTCTCTGCAGTATTAAAAACGTACACAACCAGCAATACCCTACTTTGCACCGATGAAGGACTAACACTTCAAACTTCAGCCCAGGTCATACACTCCCTACAACAGCCAATTTACCCAGCAAAGTGAGGGTTTCATTCTTTCAGTTTTTCTGGAAAGTTTTGGCAATCCGGGGGTTAACGTAGTTCATCACTAAACGTTTTATCTTTCTGCAACTTTTCTAGTCAGTCATTGCAAAGCTTATAAGGAGGACATTTCAAATGTTGTTTCTATCTGTAAGAATTGAAAATTATTTATAAGGCCTGAAAGTATACTTGCCAAGGTAAGCAAGCAAGCAAGCATCTTCAGTTTAACTGCTCCAAAACAATAATAGAAGGAAAACAATCTATATTTACAAGGGATTGCCAAGTATATTTTCAAGAGGGTTCATACAGAAAATTTAAACCTTTCTTCAAGGACTTTGAAAGACCAAATCTGTTTTTCAAGGAACCCAGAAAGTAATTAGAAAAATCAACAGGTGTTTATGGTGCAAGATTTTGTCCCAACTTTCTCTCTCATTCTTTAGTTCATTTCTCTTTTCTTTTGAAATTCTTGTGAGAAAATTAGACCATCATAAAAATTACACTTTCAATAAATTTCTTGATTCAGCCTTGTCAGTAAAGTATCAGCTGATTGAGGCTAATGAATCATTGCCCTTGGTCATTCTCCTCTTTTGTTTTCTTTCAGCTCCTCAATTTCATCCAACAACAACTTCCTCTTCTGACTTTCTTCTTGAGATTTCTTGTGTTTGTGTTATCCAGATACCTTTTGCACCTTTCAAATGTCAATGTTTACACAAACTATCTTTGCTTTCCAAACTTCGGATATTTAGGACTTTTAGAGGGTTTTTGTAGTCTCTAAAATTGATATGAATTATTTGGCTTTGCTTTTTCTCTTACTCACTTCATTCAACCAGTGAACAATGAACAACAAATTCACCCTCCTCCCCCTTTTCATATAACCACTTTGTTTAGATCCACATGTCCACATTATCCAGTCAATTGAGGAATTTAATAAATCCACAGGCGGCCCAGACATTGCATGCGATTAATACGTGACATTATGCTGTTGGCGATTGCATTACAATTTTAGCCGTTTATAAGACAATGTATGAGAATGCTTCAAAAATTACTCTAAATGCTACATGTAGAAAATAATTTGAATAAAATGGCTTACCTTACGTTTGCATTGCGTTATTTTGATGCCTCTGGGTTCCTGGAGGTGGTTTAGAGCCATGTAGGCGTTAAGCTAGAAATTCAAATCCTGTGGCCAAGATAATCGGTTACGGATCGAAATGGAGCCGAAATGGAAAGCAAGAGCTGGAAAACCAGCGATTCTCGGGTGGTTAAGATAAACTTTGAAACCTTGGGAGAAAGCGAATGGGAAGAAGAGTTATCGACGGCTGCCATGAAGCAATTTTGACGAGATTAGACCATTTTTGTGGAATTTACGGAGCTTTGAGTGCGGGCCGTCGGGCCAGTGGGTTGCCCGCCTTTCGTTTCTCTTTAGGGGAAGCAAACCGCCAGAAAGTAAAACTCGCCTAAATGGCTCTAAATCACCTCCAGGAACCCAGAGACATCAAAACAACGCAATGCAAACATAAGGTAAGCCATTTATTCAAATTATTTTCTACACATAGCATTTAGAGTAATTTTCGAAGCATTCTCATACATTGTCTTATCAACGGCTAAAATTGTAACACAATCGCCAACAGCATAATGTCACTATTAATCATATACAACGTCTGGGCCGCCTGTGATAAATCATTCCATTCCATTCCACTCAATACAAATGAATACAACAAACTTGGCGCAATGTGCCTTGTTTGTTATTCATCACCACATACTCAACAACGGCCATGGAATAATTGTTAATTATCCACCACAGAAACTTGAGATGACAGCAGTAAAAACTTCAAATTAGAAACCTTTCATACAGTTGTTTTCACACCAGCAGATTGCAGGAACAAATGTTGCTGTTTGAAACCTTTTTTGAAAATACTGTTCTGTCACATCTTTAAGTTATGCAGCATAAAAGGCAACTGATCTTTCAATTAGGCTGCATAAAAGGACGAAAATTATCATAGCTATAAACTTTCAAACGACATCCAGCCCCTAGATACCAGTGATGCTCCCAAGAAAACCTTTTCCTCATAAAACCTTTTTACCCAAACAATTTGACTACAAGGCTTCAGGACATGGCCTGTTAACTGGACATAATGAACTTACGCTGATTAGAAGACGTTTTTCCATAACCTTGGCATGGCTATTCTGTTTCAAAATCGACTGTAAAGAACAACACATCAGATGACCTCAACAGAGCCTCAGGGAGTACTCCCATGGGAGTTTGGAGTGCAGATATTTGAAAATGTTCCATATCGATATCAGTAGCACGAAAGATGGCCTCCACTTGAGTTTTCTCGTGCATTGAGAAGCATGCAGCTTTGTTGTAAGTTGCAAAGACAGTGCGAAGGAATCTTTCTCTCAGAAAAGCTCTTGCATTTTGTTCATCTTCGATGTTAGTTTGTAAGACCTCCGCAGTACAATCTGCGGCTGTTTTGTTACTTTGTGAATTGCCAAGATCAACGTCATTGTCTTCCATGGTTCCGAAAAATTATCTTTTAAGATCTGTTCACATTGCAGTTTCCCTCCGGGAGTTTATTCTCTGAATGGCCGTCCTCTCCGATGTTTTGTGTCCCTGAAACCCTCTGATCTGATTGATCTCTCTGATGTCTTAGTTATGAAGTAAAATTCTGCTGACCAATTGCACCGTTGTTTCAGTTTTTTATTCAATATGGCGGAGAAAGCGAGTGTAGACGGAGGCGCGGGAAAATTAACACAACTACCTGTAGCACGGATTAAAACAATCATGAAGAGTTCTCCAGATTTGCCAAGTTTTAGTCAAGACTCAGTTTTTCTTATAACAAAAGCCACGGTAAGTGATGTCTTTACTTCTGGGTGATAGTTGACCGAGAATCGATGAAAATTGTTTGTGATATGCCTATCGGGTATGTATGAGCAGTGATCAAAGATAACTTAAGTGAAATGCATTCGGCACATTCAGGTAGCTGACATTCAACCCTTTGCTATAGTTGAAATCTTTATCTAGCGGCACGTACCTCTAATTGTAACTGAACTGATTCAATCTATTCGTCACATGTAAGCTTCCAGTGTACTGGTCATTATACGTTAATTAATTCAACCCCCCTCCCCCGTTTTCTGGGACGAGACCTTCTGACGGGCCTACGATTGTATTTTGAGGGGCAGACAGTGCTTTCAATAAGATTTGAAGTAGACATCTGCCAGTATAAAAGTAGGCGGCTGAGGTTATATAGGTGGCCACCTTTGCTAGGGGTGTCTGTGGGCATGCTCCCCCAGAAAATTTTGAAATCTAAACTCTCGGAAATACGATTTCCAGCTTTCTGGGCCTGATAGTTAGTAAAAGATCTTTGATGAATATATTTATCATTAAAAGAAACAATTGTTTTCTATTTTCACCAGACTCATTTTGAAGTAAAAGGCAATTAAATAGTTATTAAACGAAAATGTAACAAAGCAGTGCAAAACCGTTTAGAATCATCACATACATGATTTATCTCTGTTTGGGTTGCCATAGTACCTTGGCTTCCTTCACAACTGCAAGTGTGAAAACTGTGAACAGGCTTGTTGAATGAATTTCCAAACAATGAACAAGTAAAGTTTTTAAGAGTGCCTGCCTGTAAAAATCAGACAAATTCTTAATTTCGCGGCAAGGGTCGAAAATTCGATTTCACTCATATTCTTATGATAGATAGGCTAGGGCATGACAAAAACTGCTGGATAGTCTTTTTGGCAAAATATCCTTTTATTTCAAAGAAATAGGCAAATTACCAAATTACATTAAAATCATCATTTGACGTACCATTTTATTAAGCAAGTTTGAGAGCCTCGCTTGCAAAACCACATCATTCTTCCGTCGTTAAAACACTCAAATATTTTTGTGCAATGTTTAATGTGTACTGGGTTGATTTTAGGGAATGTTGCGTTGTCTTTTTAGGTGCAAAACAATTAAATTTTGAAGACATGTATTTCATTCACTTAAAAGTACTTGGTGAATATAATTAATTTTCACCATGTGCGAAACCTTCAAATGGATTAAGCTTCTGGTGGTTGAATCGCAAAAGGATGGTCTACAGATTCCTGTAAAAATTTCTTCGTGCAAATGATTTTGAGCGATGCGAGAGCTTTTCAAAGTATGTTAAAAATGCAAATATTTGACCATCCGTTGTCAAATTTCAATTTACAGGTTAGATGTATATTTTAGCATGTGCCACATTACTTGACCTATGTTAAGTTGAAATAGACACAGAGCTGATAATTTTGAAATGTTCTAACCTTATTTGTTGTAAAAGGCAGGTCCAAAGCCGATTTGACGT